TGCTGCCTTCAAGGTGGTAAATAATTTCTCCTATATTTTCTTCTAGAAGTTTTATAGTTTTCAGTTTACCTCTATGATTCATTTTGAATTCATTTTCATGAGTGATGGGATGGAAGGGTCCAGGTTTATTGGTTTCCCAGTAAATACCCAGCTGTTCCAGGACCATTTGGTGAAAAGACTTTGTTTTCTATTGGAATAACTGGGCTGCTTCGACAAGAATTTGGCCGGGCATGCACAGGTTGCTGTCAGGAGTGTTCTCACACAGGTTCACACCTGTACTTTGGGAGGCCAAGGCAGGTGGATCACTTGAGGCCAGGAGTTCAAGACCAGCCTGGGCAACATGGTGAAACCCCATCTTTACTAAAAGTACCAAAAAAAAAAAAAAAAAGTGAGCGAGGCATGATGGTGCACGCCTGTAATCCCAGCTCCTTGGGAGGATGAGGCACGAGAAACGCTTGAACCCAGGAGGCAAAAGTTGCAGTGAGCAGAGATTGTGCCACTGCATTCCAGCCTGAGTGACAGAGTGAGATCCTGTCTCAAAACAAAACAAACAAACAAACAAGAATTAATTGGCCATGTAAGTGTGGGGCTGTTCTGGACTTTGTTTTCTGTTCACTGATTTGTGTTTCTGCCACACTATCTTGATTCCATTGGGGGTCAGAGAAGAGATCTAGGATGATTGAAGTGATTTTAAATTTGTTGAGGCAGGTTTCTGAGCCAGCATGGGGACTGTCTCAGTGACTGTCCCCTGTGCACCTGAGAGCAGCATGCTCCGGCTGCTGTCTGGAGTGTTCTCCTAGTGCCAGTTTGGTCTCGTTGGTTGATGGGTGCTTCAAGTGTTTTGTATCTTCACCTATTCTACTTTGTAAGGTTATCATTTCCTAACAGTGTTAAAATATCCTATTGTATAATAATTATGGATTTATTTCTCCTTTCAGTTTTGCCGGTTTTTACTTCAGTGTTTTAAAAAGGAGATCTAGGTGTTTTTTTATTTGTTTTTTGAGATAGGGTCTTGCTTTGTCACCCCGGCTGGAGGGCAGTGGCACGATCTCGGCTCACTGTAGCCTCAACCTCCTGGGCTCAAGTGATCCTTCTACCTCAACCTCCTGAGTAGCTGGGACTACAGATGTGCACCACCATGCGTGGCTAACTTTTTAATATTTTCTAGAGATAAGGTCTCACTGTGTTGCCCAGGCTAGTCTCAAACTCCTGGCCTCAAGTGATCCTCCTTCCTCGGTCTCTTAAAGTGCTGGGATTATGGCGCAAGCCACTGTGCCCAGCCTACTATTCCATCTTAGTTCCACTATTGGTTTATTACCTATACATCTTTTTTTTTTTAAATGGTTGCATTATGGTTTATACTCTGAATATTTAACTGATTACAGTATAATTTCAAGTAAGATTGTCCTACTTCAAGTATAATGTAAGATCTTCACAACAGCAACTTCTGCACTCCATCCCCATTCCGTCATATGCTTTACTTCTATATTTGTAAAATTCTAAGATACATTTTATTTTATTTGTTATTTTTTTTTGGAGACAGAGTCTTGGTCTGTTGCTGAGGTTGGAGTGCAGTGGAAGGATCTCAGTTCACTGCAACCTCTGCCTCCTGGGTTCAAGTGATTCTCCTGCCTCTGCTTCTTGAATAGCTGGGATTACAGACGTGCACCACCATGCCCAGCTAATTTTTGCATTTTTAGTAGAGACAGCGTTTCACCATGTTGACCAGGCTGGTCTCAAACTCCTGGCCTCAAGTGATCTACTCTCCTAGGCCTCCCAAAGTGCTGGGATTACAGGTGTAAGCCACCGTGCTGACTTATTTTTGTTTTATACAGTTAATTACCTTTTTCTTTTACAGTTTCATTGAGGTATAGTTTAGAAACCATAGAACCCACCCATTGTAAATGTATAATTCAATCATTTTACTAACCTTATAGAGTTGTGCAAACATCACCACAATCCAGTTCTGAAACACCTCCATCACCTTCCAAATTTTCTCAACCCCACTTACAATCAATCTCCCTTCCCACTCCCAGCCCCAGGCAATGCCAGCTTAATTCTGGGAAATTATAGAAACTTTGGTCGAAGGTACACTTGTCCCTCAGCATCCATGAGGGATTGCTTCTAGGAACTCCCTCGGATACCAAAATTCAAGGATGCTCAAGTCCTTCTATAAAGCGATGTAGTGTTTGCAAATAACCTACATACATCTTCCCTCTCCAATACTTTAAATTGTCTCTAGATTACTTGTAATACCTAATGTAATGTAAATGCTATGTAAACAGCTGGTATACTCTATTGGTTAGGGAATAATGACAAGAAAAAAAGTCTGTGCATGTTCAGTATAGATGCAATTTTTGGAAGGACATTTTTGACCCAAGTTTCATTGAACTCAGGACACAGAAACCACTGATATGAAAGGCTAACTGTATACCCTCTCCTCCCACTCCTTGTTGCTATTATTGTCACATATATACTGCATCTATATATGTTATAATCCTAACAATATGGTGTTCGAATTGTTGCCTTATATAAGTGCTTCACAGACTATTGCCTGTCTTCTAAATCCAGCCTCCTTTTTGTTTTACAAGTAAAGTTTTGTTGAAACAGTTATGCTCATTTATTTACATATTATCTATACTCTATAGCTGCTTCTGTATTATAGCTGCAGACATACAACAGAGATCATGTGGCCTGTTAAGTTTAAAATATTTACTATATTGCCTTTTTTCAAGAAAAGTTTGTCAATCCTTGCTTTATACAATCCTCTGTTTTTGAAAGAAGTTAAGAAATAAAATGAGGACAATATATATTCAGAGTCTTTTATATTTGCCTACATATTTACCATTTTTTGCATTCTTCATTTCTTCCTGTGCATTTGACTTACTGTCTGGTATTAGTTCCTTTCAGTCCGAAGAGCTTCTTTAGTATATCTTGTAAGGCAGATTTGCTAGCAATGAGATTTCCAAGTCTTTGTTCATTTGGGAATGCCTTTATTTTGCCTTTTTTAAAATTTAAATTTTTATTTTTTTGAGACAGAGTCTTGCTCTGCCTGACTGGAGTGAGGTGGTGCAATCACAGCTCACTGCAGCCTCAACCTCTCAGGCTTAAGCTATCCTCCTGCCTCAGCCTCCTGAGCAGCTGGGACTATAGGCATGCACCACCATGACCCGCTAATTTTTTAAAAAAATTTTGGGCCGGACGCGGTAGCTCACGCCTGTAATCCCAGCACTTTGGGAGGCTGAGGCAGGTGGATCATGAGGTCAAGAGTTTGAGACCAGCCTGGCCACCATGGTGAAACCCCATTTCTACTAAAAATACAAAAATTAGCGGGGCATGGTAGCGCGTGCCTGTAGTCCCAGCTACTCGGGAGGCTGAGGCAGAAGAATTACTTGAACTCGGAAGGCAGAGGTTGCAGTGAGTCAAGATCGTGCTACTACACTTCATCCTGGGTGACAGAGTGAGACTCCGTCTCAAAAAAAAAAAAAAAAAAAACTGTAGAGATGAGCTCTTACTATATTGCTCAGGCTGGCCTTGAATTTTTGGGCTCGAGCTATCGTCCCACCTCAGCCTCCCAAAGTGCTGGGATTACAGGCATAAGCCATCATGCCCAGACTATTTTGCCTTTATTTTTGAAGGATAGATTGCTTAATATCAAATTCTTCGTTGACAACATTTTCTTTCAGCCCTTTGAATATACTGCTCCACTTTCTTGTGGCCTCTACGGTTTTGATGTGATTCAGATGTTAGTTGTATTTTTATGCCCTTATTATGTGATAGGTCCCTTTCTCTTGAGCATTTTGACTATGATGTGTCCAGGTGTGGATCTCTGTGTTTCTCCTGCTTAGGTTTTGTCGAGCTTCTTGGATTCTGCAGATTGTTTTCAGCCATCACTTCTTCAACTCTCTCTTCTGTCTCTTTATCTTATGGTTAATGCTCTGAGGCTCTGTTTTTCTTCAATCAGTCTTCCTCCTGACCCCCGTTCTTCAAATTGGTTAATTTATATTAATCTACAAGTTGATAATAATTCTGGTGTCTCAAATCTATTGGTGAACCCCAGTAGTAAATTTTCAACTCCAGAATTTTTGCTTGCCTTTTAAAAAATAAGTTTTATTTCTTTATGAGATTCTTTCTTCATTGAGTTATTGTTAACATATTTTCCATTAATTTTTTAAACATGGTTTTTTTTGTGTGTTTTGAACAAACTCTTTTTTTTTTCTTTTTGAGATGGAGTTTCATTCTTGTTGCCCAGGCTGGAGTACAATGGTGCAATCTCGGCTCACTGCAACCTCCACCTCCCAGGTTCAAGCAATTCTCCTCCCTCAACCTCCTGAGTAGCTGGGATTACAGGCATGTGCCACCATGCCCGGCTAATTTTGTATTTTTAGTGGAGATGGGGTTTCTCCATGTTGGTCAGGCTGGTCTTGAACTCCCGACCTCAGGTGATATACCTTCCTCGGCCTCCCAAAGTCTTGGGATTACAGGTGTGAGCCACCGCGCCCAGCCTGAACAAACTTTTAATAGTTTCTTTGAAGTCTGTATTAAACCCAACACTGATGGACATTTAGAGATACTTTCCATTCACTGCTTTTTTTCTCAGTATGGATCATACATTCTTGTTTCTTTGCGTAACTTGTAATTTTTTGCTGGCTGCTGGACATTTTAGATAATACATTCTAGCAACTCTGGATTCTGATCCTCCCAGGGTGTGGTTATACAATAACTAACACCTTGTGTTTGTTTAGTAACTTTCTTGGACTAAATCTGTTCCAACTTGGAATAAGTCCAGTCTCAATTCACTGCTACGTGACTTCATGCCACAGCCTCTCCAGCCCGATAGCTGTGGATCCTCCCCTGGCCCCTGAATTTGCTCTCAGATCCAGTGTCCAGGACAGGACTACGCCACCTCCACAGTGTACATACACTCCTGGCTCCCTCCCCCGGGCCCCGATCTGCTCCCCCAGCCTGCTTATCTCCACTGACAGCCACTCTCTCTGCAGTGTCTGGCCGACAGCTGCAGCCCAGGGAGCCAGATGCAGAAACTGAAGATGACCACTCTGTAAGTGACAGCAGGAGGAAGTGTGTCCTCCTCATACCCTGTCCCCATTCTCCCTGGGCCCTGGGAGAACTGAGTGGCAAAAGTAAGTGGATTCTCTCCTGTCAGGTGACTGAAGGGCCTGCAGATGAGGTCATTCGACCACGGCCACAGGGGTCCTCACCTGTCTACGAATACACGACTGAGGCTGCTGACTTTGGACTCCAGGTGAGCCTGCTGGGCAGAGCCCCACAGGCACCCAGCTCTCCCCCTGCATTGCCCTGTGTGGGCAGCTCACTCATGTCTGTGCAGCCCTGCCGCCCTGCCTCGCTGCCCACTGGGCAGTGCCCACTCAGATGTCCTCTCAGACTCCTCTGTGCCCTTGGGTTCCTCCCTGCGACTGGCCAGGGCACAGTGGGATGGAGGTGCCCTGCAGCTCTTGTGAGCATGTGTGTGGGCTGATGCGGACAGGCCTCGTGTTACTGTGTGTTTCAGGGGCACAGGTTGTGTGCATACCTGAACCTGTGTAACACACTCATGCTGTCTTTGGGGACAAGGCCCCATGGCCACCTCTGGAGACAAGGACTTGGGGAAGGGATCAGAGGAGCCATGTCTATGAAAGGATTCCTTTTTGTACAATTTGAATTTCTTATCTCCCACCGTACGAAACTCCAGTTGCTGTGGGGCTTCCCTGTGGGTGCTGTGGGCTGTAGGCTGGGCCCTGTCAGGAAGCAGGAAGGCCAAGAGTTGCCTTTTCTCTGTGGATGTGCCTGGAGGGACCCGGCTCCCTCTGCACACAGCTGCATGTTGGAGGTTCTGGGCCCCTCTGAAGGGAGGGCTCCTGGTCTGGCACCAGCCTACCTGTGCCCCTCCCTGTCCCTGAGCTGGGGCAGGTGTCTAACTCCCAACACTTGTGGCTGCAGGAAGACGCTCCCGGCAGGCAAGGTTCCGCTGGGAGACGGAGATCCTGGTGGAAGCGGGATTCAGGGGACTCACGGACATTTTTCAGGATGAGTCGTCCAGAGGTGGGTACAGAAGGAGCTGAGGGTCACAGAGGTGTGTCCGTCCACAAAGGATCCAGCCAGAGAGTTTGAGGTCAGAGCAGGCGGGGGAGGAGCAAAGAGGCTGGCAGTGTGCCCGGTGCCCTGGGGAGGAGGGGTGTTCTTGTCCCCCTTGTCGGGCCTGGGGAAACGCAGGGGCTCCAGAAGGCTAAATCTGGTTCTGACCCTCCCCACTCCTCCCTGGTGTAGAGTTTGATGCATAGCCAAGCTCCCAGCCAGGTAGACCTGGCTGTGCAGACCTCAATTTCCTCCTCTGTACAATGGGGTAGTGCTGGTGTCTGTTGCGTATTCAAGTCACGGGGCTGAAAGGGCCAGTCAGCACCCAGGCCATGTAACTATGGAAGGTGCTAGACTCTGCTAGCACCCGGTGATGAGGGGACACTGCCTCTAAAGCAACTATTCTTTTTTTTTTCCCTGGACGCCCCAGCAGTCCAAGAGCTCTACAGGACACAGGCCCCATCCTGTCCCAGGTCTGGCAGCCTGCACCCAATGTCCCGTATTTTCCTTAGCATTGCTGTTCTTCCTTGTCTTGAGCATCAGGTGCCTTGCACACAATTCATACTTCACGTGTTTGTGAAGAATGCACAAAGGAGCTGAAAAGGGAACCTCTGGCCACAGGGAAAGCAGAAGTCGTTCTGCCCTGTTCCTGGTGCCCTGCTGGGCCTGGTGGCATGGACAGGCTGTGCCTAAGTCCTGGCAGGTTGGGGTGGGGACAAGAGTTCTGGAAGCTTCCAGCTGGCTTCCTCCAGAGCTCAGACACAGCTAGCTGAGCCCACCCGGTGGGTGCCCCACACTGCTCTGTGTTGTCCGGGCTGATGGGAAGGATGGTGGGGTGCCCATCCTCTGGAGACTCAGGCCCCAGCAGGGATGCTTACGGTGGGACTGGCACATGCTCACCATGGCCCTGATGTGCTTCTGCTCCAGTCCATGCAGGAGGCAACAGAGGTGACGCTGAAGACAGAGGTGGAGGCGGGAGCCAGTGGCTACAGTGTCACAGGCGGTGGGGACAAGGGGATCTTTGTCAAGCAAGTGCTGAAGGACTCCTCAGCTGCCAAGCTTTTCAACTTGAGAGAAGGTGCCATGGCAGTTCCATCCCTGGGGTCCCCATTCTCCCCACCAGAATGGGAGGGACCTGGAGGGGGGCATTGAGGGGGATAGGAGCCACACCTGGAGCCTAGGACGACCTCCTCACGTCTCTGCTCAGCTGCTTGAGGCTGGGATCACCCACTGCATCTAGTAAAATGGGGGACCCCATCTACCTTCCCTGTGCCTGAGACACTCGGTGGGGGACTGGTGGGGCAGACTCAGTGGGATCCCCCCATTCATGCCCCTGGGCCCCTCCTCGCCAGCCAAGGCAAGACAGCAGACCCCATCTCATTCACACACCTGGCCCTGGGGCTGCTCTTTCTTGGTCTAGGGGATCAGCTGCTCAGTGCAACCGTGTTCTTTGACAACATAAAATATGAAGATGCTCTCAAAATCCTTCAGTACTCAGAGCCTTACAGGGTTCAGTTCAAAATCAGACGGCAGCTCCCTGCTCCACAGGATGAAGAGTGGGCCTCCAGCGATGCCCAGCATGGCCCACAGGGCAAGGAGAAGGAGGTGAGACCACCATGCCTGTGGGGCAGGGCCCCAGCTGGCTTCACTACCCTGCTGGCTGAGCCTGGGAGGGGATAGCACTCCCAATCCATCTGTCCCTGGGCCAGGGTCTCAGGCTTCTTGGACTGGTTCCAACAGATTCCCTCTCCCTATGTTTTAGGACACGGATGTCGCTGATGGATGCAGAGAGACCCCCACGAAAACTCTGGAAGGAGATGGGGACCAAGAGAGACTCATCTCCAAACCCAGGGTGGGGAGAGGCAGGCAGACCCAGAGGGAGAGGCTCTCTTGGCCAAAATTTCAATCCATAAAGAGCAAGCGGGGGCCGGGACCCCAGAGGTCACACAGCTCGTCAGAGGCCTACGAGCCCAGGGACGCACATGACGTGTCCCCTACAAGCACAGACACAGAGGCCCAGCTCGCAGTGGAGCGCCAAGAGCAGAAGGCAGGGCCGGGCAGCCAGAGGAGGCGGAAGTTCCTCAACCTGAGATTCAGGACAGGCTCGGGACAGGGCCCTTCATCAACAGGAGAGCCAGGCAGGGGGTCCCAGAGAGGGGTGGGCCGTGCTGGGGTCCTGGAAGAGTTGGGGCCCTGGGGTGATAGCCTTGAGGACACTGGGGCTGCCACAGGCAGCAGGAGAGAGGAGAGGGCAGAACAGGATCGAGAAGTGACACAGTTGCCCACAGAGCTGGGTGACCCTAGAGCTTGTGAGGGAACCCCTGAGGAAGGGGGACTCAGGGCAGCCAGGTTCCACAGAAAGACCCTGGAGGGGCAGGCACAGGAGACAGCAGTGGCCCAGAGGAAGCCCAGGGTCCAGCCAACTCCTGGAATGAGCTGGGAGGGTGAAGGTGAGGGACTGCAGAGCCTGGAAATTGGGATCGCCAGACTGTCCTTGAGAGACACAACTGAAGGAGGCACACAGATCGGCCCACCCAAAATTAGGGTGCGAGTACACGATTTAAAGACACCAAAATTTGCATTTTCCACCGAAAAAGAGCCAGAAAGAGAAAGGCGCATTAGTGCCCCACAGCGAGGGAAAGGACAGGACCTGTACTCAAAAGTGGGTACTGGCCTCAATGTTGAGGAGGTGGAAGGAGCAGGGTGGGAACCAGGCAGGGAACTAGCCACACATGCAGAAGCACAAGACGGTGAAGGAGATGGAGAAGGACTACAGAGGACAAGGATCACCCAGGAACAGGACAAGGTCGGGGAAGACAGAGAAGGACAGATGAGAATGCCCAAGTTCAAGATACCATCCTTAGGATGGTCGCCAAGCAAGCAGGCAAAGACAGGGAGAGAAAAAGCCACACAAGACACAGAGCAGGAAAGGGCAGGACAGGCCATAGCAACAGCCGACAGAAGAGAACAGGGAGGCATGGAGGCCGGACTAAAAGATAAGGAAGATAGAGACTCAATGACAAACGAAACAAAATTACAATTAACACATGACCAAAAACCCTTGAAAAAGGAACAAATTCTGAAAGAAAAGGATGTGGCCACCAAAGACAGCAAGTTCAAAATGCCCAAGTTCAAGATGCCATCCTTCGGGATGTCGGCCCCAGGCAAGTCCATCGAGGCCTCGGTGGACATGTCTGTGCCAAAGATGGAGGCCGACGTGAGCCTCCCCTCCATGCAGGGGGATCTCAAGACCACTGACCTCAGCATTCAGCCCCCTTCCGCTGACCTGGAGGTCCAGGCTGTCCAGGTGGATGTTACGCTCCCGGAGGGCCACCTGCCCGAGGAAGCCGGCCTCAAAGGGCACCTGCCCAAGGTGGAGATGCCCAGTTTGAAGATGCCCAAAGTAGACCTCAAAGGCCCCCAGGTGGATATCAAGGGCCCCACGCTGGACCTGAAGTACCCCAAGGCGGAGGTGACGGCCCCCGACGTGGAGGTGTCTCTCCCCAACATGGAGGTGGACATCCAGACCCCAGGAGTCAAGCTGGATGCTGTGCGGCTGGAGGGGGACCTATCCCTGGCCGACAAGGGCGTGACCACCAAAGACAGCAAGTTCAAAATGCCCAAGTTCAAGATGCCATCCTTTGGGGTGTCGGCCCCAGGCAAGTCCCTGGAGGCCTCGGTGGACGTGTCTGTGCCAAAGATGGAGGCCGACGTGAGCCTCCCTTCCATGCAGGGGGACCTCAAGACCACTGACCTCAGCATTGAGCCCCCATCATCTGCTGAGCTGGAGGTCAGGCTGTCAGGTGGACGTGAAGCTCCCGGAGGGTCACGTGCCGAGGAGCTAGCCTCAAGGGGCACCTGCCCAAGGTGCAGATGCCCAGTTTCAAAAGATGCCCAAAGTGGACGTCAAGGTCCCAGCTGGACCTGAAGGCCCCAGGCGAGGTGATGACCCCTGACGTGGATGTGTCTCTGCCCAGCGTGGTGGACATCCAGGCCCAGAGCCAAGCTGGACTGCGGCTGGAGGGAACTGTCCTGGCTGACAAGGATGTGACTGCGAAAGACAGCAAGTTCAAAATGCCCAAGTTCAAGATACCTTCTTTCGGAGTGTCATTCCCAGGCAAGTCATTGAGGCCTCGGTGGACGTGTCTGCACGAGGTGGAGGCCGGCGTGAGCCTCATCTCCATGCAGGGTCTCAAGACCACGAGACAAAAGCTTCAGCCCCCTTCTGCTGACCTGGAAGTCCAGGCTGGCCAAGTGGACATGGCCAGCTCCCAGAGAGCCCACCTGCCGAGCCGAGGCGTCAAGGCACCTGCCCAAGGTGGAGATGCCCAGTTTCAAGATGCCCAAAGTGGACCTCAAGGGCCCCAGGTGCCATCAAGGGCCCCAAGCTGGACCTGAAAGGCCCCAAAGGCGAGTGACGGCCCCTGACAGGGAGGTGTCTCTGCCCAGCATGGAAGGTGGACATCAGGCCCCGGTGGCCAAGCTGGGCGGTGCAGGGATGGAGGGGACCTGTCCTAGCTGAGCAAGGATGTGACTGCCGAAGACAGCAGGATTCAAAATGCCCAAGTTCAAGATGCCATCCTTGAGGTGTCGGCCCAGGCAAGTCCATCGAGGCCTCGGTGGACGTGTCTCTGTGCCAAAGATGGAGACCAACGTGAGCCTCCCACTCCATGCAGAGGACCTCAAGACCACTGACCTCAGCATTCAGCCCCATCCGCTGACCAGAGTCCAGGCTGTCAGGTGGATGTGATGCTACCGGATGGCCACGTGCCGAGGCCAGACTCGAGGCACCTGCCCAAGGTGGAGATGCCAAGTTTGAAGATGCCCAAAGTGGACCTCAAGGGAGCCCCAGGTGGATATCAAGGGCCCAAGCTGGACCTGTAAAGGCCCCAAAGGCGCGGAGAATTAGCTGACCCCCACGATGTGGAGAGTGTCTCTGCCCAGCGTGAGTGGACCACCAGACCCCAGGAGTCAAGCTGGATGGCGTGCAGCTGGAGGGACCTGTCCTGGCCGACAGGACATGACATAAAGACAACCAAATTCAAAATGCCCAAGTTCAGATGCCATCTTTTCGGACTGTCCGCCCAAGGCAAGTCCATGGAGGCCTCAGTGGACATGTCTGCCCCAAAGGTGGAGGCTGACGTGAGCCTCCCATCCATTCAAGGGGACCTCAAGACCACGAACCTCAGCATTCAGCCTACCCGCCGACCTGGAGGTCCAGGCTGGCCAAATGGGCGTTACACTCCCGGAGGACCACCTGCCCGCGAAGCCAGCCTCAAAGGCACATGCCCAAGGTACAGATACAGTTTCAAGATGCCCAAAGTAGACCTCAAAGGCCCCAGGTGGATATCAGACCCCAAGCTGGACCTGAAGGCCCCAGGCGGAGGTGACAGCCCCGACATGGAGTGTCTCTGCAGCGTGAGTGGACATCCAGGCCCCAGAGGCCAAGCTGGACAGCGCCGCGACTGGAGGGGAACTATCCCTGGCTGACAAGAGGATATGACCACGAAGACAGCAAGTTCAAAAATGCCTGAAGTTCAAGATGCAGTCTTTGGGGTGTCGGCCCCCAGGCAAGTCCGCCGAGGCCTCGGTGGAGCGTATCCACAGTGCCAAGGTGAGCCAGCAAGGCCTTCCCTCATGGAGGGACCTCAGCAGACTCCTGACCTCAGCATTCAGCCCCTTCCTGGCTGACCTGGAGGTCCAGGCTGTCAGGTGGACGTGAAGCTCCCTGAGGCCACGTGCCCAGTGGGCCCGGCCTCAAAGGGCACCTACCGAAGGTGCATATGCCCAGTTTGAAGATGCCCAAAGTGGACCTCAAGGGCCCCCAGGTGAATATCCGGGGAGCCCCAGCTGGACCTGGGGACCCAAGGTGCAGGTGACGGCCCCTGACGTGGAGGTGTCCGTCCCAGCATGGAGGTGGAAATCCAGGCCCAGGAGCCAAGCTGGATGATGCCCAGCTGGAGAAGAACTGTCCTGGCTGACAAGGACGTGACCACCAAACACAGCAAATTCAAAATGCCCAAGTTCAAGATGCCATCCTTGGGAGGTGTCGGCCCCAGGCAAGTCCTTGAGGCCTCGGTGGGCGTGTCTGTGCCAAAGTGAGGCCGAGCGTGAGCCTCCTCCATGCAAGGGGACCTCAGGGCTCCAGCAACCAGATTCAGCCCCCTTCCGCTGACCTGGAGGTCCAGGCTGTCCAGGTGGGCGTGGCGCTCCCAGAGGCCACACATGCCCGAAGGAGCCCGACCTCAAAGGCACCTGCCCAAGTGCAGATGCCCAGTGTCAAGATGCCCAAAGTGGAGCGTCAAGGGCCCCAAGCTGGACCTAGAAGGCCCCAAGGCGGAAGTGATGACCCCCGGCGTGGATGTGTCTCTGCCCAGCGTGGAAATTGGACATCAGACCCAGAGCCAAGCTGGAGCGGCACCACGGCTGGAGGAACTGTCCTGGCTGACAAGGATGTGACTGCGAAAGACAGCAAGTTCAAAATGCCCAAGTTCAGATGCCTTCCTTCGGAGTGTCGGCCCCAGGCAAGTCCATGAGGCCTGGTGGACGTGTCTGCGCCAGATGAAGAGTAACGTCAGGCCTCGTCTCCCATGCAGGGAGTCTCAAGACCACGGACATAGCATTCAGCCCCCTTCCAGCGACCTGGAAGTCAGACTGGCCAAGTGGACATGGCCTCCCAGAGGCCCACCAGCCCGGGGAGCCGGCGTCAAGGCACCTGCCCAAGGTGGAATGCCCAGTTTCAAGATGCAAAAGTGGACCTCAAGAGGGCCCCCAGGTGCACATCAAGGGCCCAAGCTGGACCTGAAAGGCCCCAGGCGGAGTGGCGGCCCTGACGGGGAGGTGTCTGCCCAGCATAGAGAGTGGACATCAGGCCACAGGCGGCAAACTGGACAGTGCAGGAGTGGAGGGGACCTGTCCCTAGCCACGACAAGGATGTGACCGCCAAGGCAGCAAGTTCAAAATGCCCAAGTTCAAGATGCCATCCTTCGAGAGTGTCGGACCCAGGCAAGTCCATCGAGGCCTCGGTGGACGTGTCTGTGCCAAAGGAATGGAGGCCAACGTGAGCCTCCCTCAGGCAGGGGACCTCAAGACCCGGACCTCCAGCATTCCCAGCCCCTTCCGCTGACCTGGAGGTCCAGGCTGTCCAGGTGGATGTGACGCTACCAGAGGACCACGTGCCCGAGGGAGCCAGACTCAAAGGACACCTGCCCAAGGTGGAGATGCCAAGTTTGAAGATGCCCAGTGGACCTCAAAGGGCCCAGGTGGATATCAAGGGCCCCCAAGCTGGACTCTCAAGAAAGGCCCAAGGCGATGGCCAGCCCCCGATGTGAAGTGTCTCTGCCCAGCGTGGAGGTGGACATCCAGGCCCCAAGAGTCAAACTGGATGGCGTGCGGCTGGAGGACCTGTCCCTGTGACAGGGCGTGACACCAAAGACAGCAGATTCAAAATGCCCAAGTTCAAAGATGCCATCGTTCGGGCTGTCGCTGAGCAAGTCCATGGAGGCTTCAGTGGACGTGTCTGCGCCAAAGGTGGACATCAAGACCACGGACATAAGCATTCAGCCCCCTTCCACCGATCTGGAGGTCCCAGGCTGGCCAAGTGGACATGATGCTCCCGGAGAACCACACCACCCGAGGAGCGAGCGTCAAAGGCACCTGCAAAGTGGAGATACCCAGTTTCAAGATGCCCAAAGTGGACCTCAAGGGCCCCCGGGTGCACATCAAGGGCCCCAAGCTGGGCCCTGAAGAGGGCTCCAAGGTGGAGAGATGGCCCCGACATGGGAGTGTCTCTGCCCAGCGTGGAGGGTTGGCGTCAGGCCCAGCCAAGCTGAGGCCGGCATGGGGCTGGAGAGGACCTGTCCCTGGCCCACAAGGATGTGACCACCAAAGACAGCAAGTTCAAAATGCCCAAGTTCAAGATGCCGTCCTTCAGGTGTCGGCCCCAGGCAAGTCCATCGAGGCCTCGATGGACGTGTCTACCAAGGTGGAGGCCGAACTGAGCCTCCCCTCCCATTCAGAGGACCTCAAGACCACTGACCTCAGCATTCCAGCCCCTTCCGCTGACCTGGAGGTCCAGGCTGTCCCGGGTGGACGTGATGCTCCCAAGGCCACATGGCCGAGAGGGCCGGCCTCAAGGGCACCTGCCCAGACAAGAATGCCCAGTTTGAGAATGCCCAAAGTGGACCTCAAGGGCCCCCAGGTGCACATCAAGGGCTGGCTGGACCTGAAGGCCCCAGGAGTGGAGGTGATGGCCCCGGCGTGGAGGTGTCTCTGCCCACCATGGGGTGGATATCCAGGCCCCAGCGGCCAAGCAGTGCAGGGATGGAGGACCTGTCCTAGCTGACAAGCACGTGACCGCGAGACGGCAAGTTCAAAATGCCCAAGTTCAAAGAGATGCCATCCTTCCGGGTGTCGGCCCCAGGCAAGCGCCAGGAGCCTCAGTGGGCCGTGTCTGTGCCAAGGTGGAGAGACCGCGTGAGCCTCCCTCATCTGAGGACCTCCAAGACCACTGACCTCAGCATTCAGGCCCCTTCCCGCTGACCTGGAGGTCCAGGCTGTCAGCCTGGGCGTGGCGCTCCCAAGCCCGTGCCGAGGCCGGCGTCAAGGCACCTGCCCAAGGTGGAGATGCCAAGTTTGAAGATGCCCAGAAATTGGACCTCAAAGGCCCCCAGGTGGACATCAGGGGCCCCACGCTGGACCTGAAGGCCCCAAGGTGGAGGTGACGGCCCCCGGCGGTGAGTGTCTCTTCCCAGCATGGAGGTGGACATCCAGGCCCAAGTCAAGGTGGACCACACGCAGATGGAGGACCTGTCTCTGGCCAGCCAACAAGGACTTGACTGCAAAAGACAGCAGGATTCAAAATCTTGGGGTCAAGATGCTGTCCTTTGGGGTGTCGGCCCCAGGCAAGTCCGCCAGGCCACGGTGGGCGTGTCTGCGCCAAGGTGGAGGCCGGGCGTGAGCCTACCCTCCATGCCAGGGGACCTCAAGACCACTGACCTCAGCATTTAACAGGCCCCATCCAGCTAGAGCTGGAAGTCCAGAATGCCAGGTGGACATGAAGCTCCCGGTGACCCGTGCCCAGGGAGCTGGCCTCAAGGGCACCTGCAAGGTACCGATGCCCAGTTTCAAGATGCCCAAAGTGGACCTCAAGGGCCCCAGTGCACATCAAGGGTCCCAAGCTGGACCTGAAGGCCCAAAGGCAGAGGTGGCGACTGACGTGGAGGTGTCTCTGCCCAGCGTGGAGGTGGATGTCAGGCCCCAGGAGAGTCAAACTGGATGGTGTGATTGGAGGGACCTGTCCTGGCTGACAAGGACGTGACCGCCAAAGACAGCAAATTCAAAATGCCCAAGTTCAAGATGCCATGGTGGGCTGCATCCACCCCAGGCAAGTCCATGGAGGCCTCAGTTGACCTGTCTGCGCCGAAGGTGGAGGCCGACCTGAGCCTCCCCTCCATGCAGGAGGACCTCAAGACCACGGACCTCAGCATTCCAGCCCTATCCGCTGACCTGGAGAGTCAGGCTGTCCAGGTGGACATGACACTCCGGAGCCACTTGCCCGAGGGGCGTGAGGCGTCAAAGGCACCACCAAGGTGCAGATGCAGTTGAAGATGCCCAAATGGACCTCAAAGGCCCCGGAGTGGATATCAGGGCCCCAAGCTGGACCTGAAAGGCCCCAAGTCGGAGTGTCCGGCCTTGTAGAGTGTCTCTGCCCAGTGTGAGTGGAAATCCAGGACCGGGAGGCCAAGCTGGATGGCGCACGGCTGGAGGACTGTCCCTGGCCGACAGAGCGTGACCACCGACACAGCAAATTCAAAATGCCCAGTTCAAGATGCCATCCTTCGGAGTGTCGGCCCCAGAACCGTCCGTGAGCCTCAGTGGGCGTGTCTGTGCGAAGGTGGAGACGATGTGGGCACTCCCCTCCATGCAGGGGACCTCAGACCACTGACCTCAGCATTCAGCCCCTTCCTCCGACCTGGAGGTCCAGGCTGGCCAAGTGGACATGACACTCCCGGAGGTGCTTGCCCGAGGCCGAGCGTCAAGAGGCACCTGCCCAAGGTGCAGATGCCCAGTTTCAAGATGCCCAAAGTGGACCTCAAACCCCAGGTGGGCGTCCAAAATTTGGGTGGACCTGAAGGAGCCCCAAGGTGGAAGTGACCCCAGCGTGGATGTGTCTCTGCCCAGCGTGGAGGTGGACATCAGGTCCCAGAACTAGCTGGATGGCACACGGCTGGAGGGGGAACTGTCCCGGGCTGACAAGGACGTGGCCGCGAAAGACAGCAAGTTCAAAATGCCCAAGTTCAAGATGCCGTCCTTTGGGGTGTCAGCCCCAGGTAAGTCCATCGAGGCCTCGGTGGACGTGTCTGTGTCAAGGTGGAGGCCAACGTGAGCCTCCCTCATGCAGGACCTCAAGACCACTGACCTCAGCATTCAGCCCCCTTCCGCCGAGCTGGATGTCAGGCTGTCAGGTGGACGTGAAGCTTCCTGAGGGCCCGTGCCCGAGGGCTGGCCTCAAGGGCACCTGCCCAAGGTGCAGATGCCCGGTTGAAGATGCCCAAAGTGGACCTCAGAGCTGAGGTGGATATCAAGGTCCCCAAGCTGGACCTGGCCCCAAGGCCGAGGTGACAGCCCGGCGGTGGAAGTGTCTCTGCCCAGCGTGGAGGTGGACATCCAGGCCCTGGGAGCCAAGTTGGATGATGCCCAGCTGGAAGGCGGAACTATCCCTAGCGACAAGGGCGTGACCACCAAACACAGCAAATTCAAAATGCCCAAGTTCAAGATGCCATCCTTCGGGGTGTCGGCCCCAGGCAAGTCCATCCCGAGGCCTTGGTGGGCGTTCCTGCGCCGAAGGTGGAGGCCCGGCGTGAAACCTCCTCCATGCAGGGGACCTCGAGACCACAGACCTCAGCATTCAGCCCCCTTCTGCAGCCTGAAGTCCAGGCTGTCAGGTGGATATGGCTCCCGGAGGGCCACGCCGAGGCCGCAAGGGCGCCTGCCCAGGTGGATGCCCAGTTTCAGATGCCCAAGAGTGGACCTCAGGGCCCCCAGGTGGACGTCAGGGCCCAAGCTGAACCTGAAGGCCCCAAGGCCGAGGTGACCGCTCCCGAGCGTGAGTGTCTCTGCCCAGTGTGGAGTGGACATCCAGGTCCAGAAGCCAAGCTGAACCACACACGGATGGAGGAGGACCTGTCTGTAGCCGACAAGGACTTGACCAGCAAAGACAGCAAGTTCAAATGCCCAGTTCAAGATGCCGTCCTTAGGTGTCGGCCACGAGCAAGTCCATCGAGGCCTCGATGGGCGTGTCTACCACCAAGGTGGAGGCGAACTGAGCCTCCCCTCCATTCAGGGGACCTCAAGACCACTGACCTCAGCATTGAGCCCCCATCCGCTGAGCTGGAGTCCAGGCTGTCCAAGTGGACGTGAAGCTCCTGGAGAGCCATGTGCCCGAGCTGGCCTCAAGGAGCACCCTGCCCAAGGTGAATGCCCAGTTTCAAGATGCCCAAAAGTGGACGTCAAAGGGCCCCAAGCTGGACCTGAAAGGCCCCAAGGCGAGTGATGACCCCTGGCGTGCTGGGTGTGTCTCTGCCCAGCGTGGAGGTGGACATCCAGGCCCAGGCCAAGGTGGACGGCACACGGCTGGAGGGGGAACTGTCCCTGGCTGACAAGGATGTGACTGCGAAAGACAGCAAGTTCAAAATGCCCAAAGTTCAAGATGCCTTCCTTGGTGTCGGCCCCAGGCAAGTCCATCGAGGCCTCGGTGGGCGTGTCTGCGCCCGAAGGTGGGAGGCAGCCGTGAGCCTCGTCTCCATGCAGGAGGGTCTCAAGACCACGGGACATAAGCATTCAGCCCCTTCCGCTGACCTGGAAGTCAGGCTGGCCAAGTGGACATGGCGCTCCCAGAGTGACCCACCTGCCCGAGGCGGCGTCAAGCACCTGCCAAGGTGGAGATACTTGATTTCAAGATGCCCAAAGTGGACCTCAAGAATTTGGGTGCACATCAGGGGTCCCAAGCTGGACCTGCAGGGAGGAGGAGGAGAGAGGCCTAAGGCAGAGTGACGGCCCCCGGCGTGGAATGTCTCTGCCCATACGGAGGTGAATGTCAGGCCCCAGGAGTCAAACTGGATGAGCGCCACGGCACAGAGGGGACTATCCACAGCTGTGGGGCGTGACCGCCAAGCAGCAAATTCAAATGCCCAAGTTCAAGATGCCATACGTTCGGAGCTCTCCGCCCCAGGCAAGTCATAGGCCTCAGTTGACCTGTCTGCGCCCAAGGTGGGAGAGCGGCGTGACCTCCCTCCATGCAGGGGACCTCACGACTACGGACCTCAGCATTCAGCCCCCATCCGCCGACCTGGAAGTCAGGCTGTCCAGTGGACATGGCGCTCCCAGGGCCACTTGCCCGAGGCCGGCGTCAAGGGCACCTGCCCAGTGCAGATGCCCAGTTGAAGATGCCCAAGTGGACCTCAAAGGCCCCCAGGTGGATATCAAGGGCCCCAAGCTGGACCTGAAGGCCCCAAGTCGGAGGTGTCCGGCCCGCCTTGGAGGTGTCTCTGCCCAGTGTGGAGGTGCAAATCAGGACCCGGGAGCCAAGCTGGGACGAGGCGCACGGCTGGAGAGAACTGTCCCTGGCAGGCAAGGATACGGCCACAAACACAGCAAATTCAAAATGCCACCCAAGTTCAAGATGCCATCCTTCCAGAGTGTGGCCCCAGGCAAGTCCATCGAGGCCTCAGTGGGCGTGTCTGTGCCGGAAGGTGGAGAGTCGATGTGAGCCTCCCCTCCATGCAGGGGGAATTGAAGACCAGTGACCTCAGCATTCAGCCCCCTTCCGCTGACCTGGAGTCCAGGCTGTCAGGTGGACATGACCTCCCAGAGGCCCTTGTCCGAGGCCGGCGTCAAGAGGCACCTGCCCAAGGTGCAGATGCCAGTTGAGAAGATGCCAAAGTGGACCTCAAGGCCCCCAGGTGGGCGTCAAGGCCCCAAGCTGAGACCTGAAGGCCCCAAGGCCGAGAGTGGCGGCCCCACGTGTGAAGTGTCTCTGCCAGCTGTGAAGTGGACATCACAGCCCCAGAATGGCTGGATGCGCCCCAGCTGGAGGAGAACTGTCCCTGGCTGACAGGGCGTGACCGTGAAAGACAGCAAGTTCAAAATGCCCAAGTTCAAGATGCCCCGTCCTTTTGGGGTGTCAGCCCCAGACAAGTCCATCGAGGCCTCGGTGGGCGTGTCTGTGTCAAGGTGGAGGCCAGCGTGAGCCTCCCTCCATGCGAGGACCTCAGACCACTGACTTCAGCATTCCAGCCCCTTCCGTGAGCTGGATGTCCAGGCTGTCCAGGTGGATGAAGCTTCCTGGGAGCCCACGTGCCCGAGAGGCTAGCCTCAAGGGCACCTGCCCAAGGTGCAGATGCCAGTTAGAAGATGCCCAAAGTGGACCTCAAGGAGCCCCCATGTAGTCTCAAGGTCCCCAAAGGCGGAAGTAGACCCCCGGCGTGGATAATGTCTCTGCCCAGCGTGGAGTGGACATCCAGGCCCAAGGCCAAGCTGGACAAGCACTTCGGCCTGGAGGAACTGTCCCTGGCTGACAAAGGATGCTGACCGGGAAAGACCTTAAGTTCAAAATACCCAAGTTCAAGATGCGTCCTTTGGGGTGTCCAACGCAGGCAAGTCCATACGAGGCCTCAATGGACATATCCTACTAAAAGAGTGAAGCCCAACGTAGGCCTGCCCTCCACTGCGGGGGACCTCAAGACCACGGACCTCAGCATTCAGCCCCCTTCTGCGAGCTGGATACTCCAGGCTGTCAGGTGGATGTGAAGCTCCCTGAGGGCCATGTGCCCGATGGAGCCAGCCTCAAAGGGCACCTGCCCAAGGTGCAGATGCCCAGTTTGAAGATGCCCAAAGTGGACCTCAAGGGCCCCCAGGTGGATATCAAGGGCCCCAAGCTGGACCTGAAGGCCCAAGGCCGAGTGGCCTGACTGACGTGGAGAGTGTCTCTGCCCAGCGTGGAGGTGGATGTCAGGCCCAGGAGTCAAACTGGATGACACGCGGCTGGAGGACCTATCCCTGGCTGACAGGAGCGTGACCGCCAAAGACAGCAAATTCAAATGCCCAAGTTCAAGATGCCATCATTCGGGCTGTCGCCCCAGGCAGAATCCATGGAGGCCTCGGTGGGCGATGTCTGTGCCGAGGTGGAGGCCGCATGAGCCTCCTCACGCAGGGACCTCAAGACCACGGACCTCAGCACTCAGCCCTCTTCCACTGAGCTGGAAGTCAGGCTGTCCAGGTGGGCGTGAAGGTCCCAGAGGTCATGTGCCCGGGGAGCCAGCCTCAAGGCACCTGCCCAGAGTGCACCTGCCCAAGGTGCAGATGCCCAGTTTCAAGATGCCCAAGGTAGACCTCAAGGGCCCCCAGGTGGATGTCAAGGGCCCCAAGTTGGACCTGAAAGGCCCCAAGGCAGAGGTGACGGTCCCCGACATGGAGGTGTCTCTGCCCAGCGTGGAGGTGGATGTCCAGGCCACGGGAGCCAAGCTGGACACCAGGGGGCTGGAGGGGCACCTGTCCCTGGCTGAAAAGGACGTGACCACTAAAGACAGCAAGTTCAAAATGCCCAAGTTCAAGATGCCGTCGTTTGGGGTGTCGGCCCCAGCGAAGTCCATTGAGGCCTCAGTGGACGTGTCTGTGCCAAAGGTGGAGGCCGACGTGAGCCTCCCCTCCGTGCAGGGCGACCTCAAGACCAGTGACCTGAGCTTTCAGCCCCCTTCCGCTGACCTCGAGGTCCAGGCTGGCCAGGTGGACGTGAAGCTCCTGGAGGGCCACGTGCCCGAGGGAGCCAGCCTCAAAGGGCACCTGCTCAAGCTGCAGATGCCCAGTTTCAAGGGTCCCCAGGTGGACGTCACGGGCCGCAAGCTGGACCTGAAAAGCCTCAAGGCTGAAGTGATGGTCCCCGACGTGGAGGTGTCTCTGCCCAGCACGGAGGTGGACATCCAGGCCCCAGGAGCGATGTTTCACGGCGCGGGGCTAGAGGGGGACCTGTCCCTGGTCCACGAGGATTTAGCTGCAAAAGACAGCAAGTTTCAAGTGCAAAAACTGAGCACGTCTGGTGCGGAATGGTCGTCAAAGAAAATTTCCATGTCATCCTCTGAAATCAAAGGAAATGTTACATTCCGTGAGAAGACTTCAGCATTTCCCATTGTGGAGTCTGTTGTTCGTGAAGGTGATCTTCATGATCCATCACGCGACAGTAACCTGGGGCTTGCTGTTGGAGAAGCTGGAGTGGATTCGAAGTTTAAGAAACTGCATTTAAAAATGCCCAAAGTTTCATTTTCTTCTGCCAAAACTGCTAAAGATAGTTTAGTCTCAGGTGCAGAATCTAGCGTAGGTCTTTCCACGATTCCCTTATCTTCAGAATCCTCAAGTTGTGAATTACAGCAGGTTTCGGGTGGTTCAGAGCCATCCATGCAGATGCCTGAGGTTGGTTTGACTGGGTTTCCATCATCCCGGATTGATCTCACTGGTCCTCACTTTGAATCTTCTATTCTCTCTCCCTGTGAGGGTGTTACACTTACAAAATACCAGGTGACCGTTCCCAGAGCTGCCTTGGCCCCTGAGCTTGCTCTGGAAATTCCTTCTGGGTCTCAGGCTGAGTTTCCTCTTCCCAAGACAGAGTGCTCTGCTGACCTGCAACCTCCAGAGGGAGTTCCAATATCTGAAACCGAGAGTCACTCTGGTCCACTGAATTCCATGATTCCTGTTTCTCTTGGTCAGGTGTCTTTTCCTAAATTCTATAAACCAAAGTTTGTGTTTTCAGTTCCCCAAATGTCAGTTCCTGAGGGAGACTTACATGCAGCAGCGGGTGCCCCAGTCATGTCTCCTCTTAGCCCTGGAGAGGGAGTGCAGTGCCCCTTGCCAAGCACCCATCTGCCATCCCCAGGCACCTCTGTGTCCCAGGGCCCGGAAGAGCTTGTGGCCTCCTTGCAGACATCAGTAGCGGTCCCCGGAGAAGCCCCTTCTGAAGATACTGACCACGAAGGGAAAGGGAGTCCCTTCAAAATGCCTAAGATTAAGCTTCCATCATTTAGGTGGTCCCCGAAGAAGGAAGCAGGGCCAAAGGTGGACCCAGAATGCAGCGTGGAAGACTCAAAACTCAGCCTGGTTTTAGACAAGGATGAAGTGGCCCCGCAGTCTGCCATGCACATAGATCTGCCTCCTGAGAGGGATGGAGAGAAGGAAAGGAGCACAAAGCCTGGCTTCGCCATGCCAAAACTTGCACTACCCAAAATGAAGGCTTCTAAGAGTGGGGTCAGCCTGCCACAGAGAGACATGGATCCTTCTCTTTCTAGTGTCACAGCAGGGGGTAGCTTTCAAGACACAGAAAAGGCCAGCACTGACGGTGGTGGGGGAGGACTTGGTGCAACAGCAAGTGCCACAGAAGGTAAGGGTGTGAACCTCCCCTGTCCACAGGTCCGCATTCCCAGTTTGGGCTTTGCCAAACCTGATCTCAGATCCTCCAAGGCCAAGGGGCAGGTGAGCCAGTCTGAAGCTGACCTGCCTCTTCCCAAACATGATCTGTCTACCGAAGGTGACAGCAGAGGATGTGGGCTCGTCGATGTCCCAGCAAGCCAGCCTTGTGGGGAGGGGATAGCTCCCACACCTGAAGACCCCCTCCAGCCATCCTGTAGAAAACCAGATGCTGAAGTCCCCACAGTGGAAAGCCCAGAGGAGGAAGCCATGACCAGGGACTCGCAGGAAAGCTGGTTTAAAATGCCCAAGTTCCGCATGCCCAGCCTTAGGCGCTCTTCCAGGGACAGAGGCGGGGATGGAAAGCTGGAAGTGGCTCAGACACAGGCACCGGCAGCAACAGGGGATGAAGCAGCAGCTAGAGTCAAAGAGTTCCTTGTTTCTGGGTCAAACATGGAGGCAAGTATGTCCCTACAGCTCCCAGAGGCAGATGCAGAAGTGACAGCTTCTGAGAGCAAATCATCCACAGATGTTCTAAGGTGTGATCTTGACAGCACAGGCTTGAAGCTGCACCTTTCCACTGCTGGGATGACTGGGGATGAGCTTTCCACTTCTGAGATCAGGATCCATCCAACCAAAGGACCTCTCCCTTTTCAGATGCCTGGCATGAGGCTTCCAGAAACCCAGGTTCTTCCAGGAGAAATAGATGAGACTCCTCTTTCCAAGCCAGGACATGACCTTGCCAGCATGGAGGATAAAACAGAGACATGGTCATCCCAGCCTGAAGGTCCACTTAAACTGAAAGCTTCAAGTACTGATATGCCATCCCAGATTTCTGTGGTTAATATGGATCAACTGTGGGAAGATTCTGTACTAACTGTCAAATTCCCCAAATTAAAGGTACCGAGGTTCTCCTTCCCTGCCCCCAGCTCAGAGGATGACGTGTTCATCCCCACTGTGAGGGAAGTGCAGTGTCCAGAGGCAAATATTGACATAGCCCTTTGTAAGGAAAGTCCAGGGCTCTGGGGAGCCAGCATCCTGAAGGCAGGTGCTGGGGTCCCCAGGGAGCAGCCTGTGGAGCTTAACCTGCCTTTGGAAGCTTCCCCAATTTCAAAGGTCAGAGTGCATATTCAGGGTGCTCAGGTTGAAAGTCAAGAAGTCACTATACACAGCATAGTGACACCAGAGTTTGTAGATCTCTCAGCACCCAGGGCTTTTTCCACTCAGATTGTGCGGGAATCAGAGATCCCTGCATCAGAGATTCAAACACCTTCATATGGATTTTCCTTATTAAAGGTGAAAATTCCAGAGCCCCACACACAGGCTAGAGTGTACACAACAGTGACTCAGCACTCTAGGACTCAGGAGGGCGCAGACGAGGCTCCCACACAAGCTGCCCCAGGAGCAGACTCCATTTCTGGAGATCTCCAGCCTGACACTGGAGAACCATTTGAGATGATCTCTTCCAGCGTCAATGTACTGGGACAGCAAACACTCACATCTGAACTTCCTTCTGGCCATCAGCTTGCAGACAGCTGTTCAGATGAGGAGCCAGCAGAAATTCTTGAGTTTCCCCCTGATGATAGCCAAGAGGCAACCACACCACTGGTGGATGAAGGCAGGGATCCAAAAGAGAAACCAGAAAGTAAAAAATCTGGTCTGCTCTGGTTTTGGCTTCCAAATATTGGGTTTTCCTCTTCTGTTGATGAGACAGGTGTCGATTCCAAAAATGACATCCAGAGATCTGCTCCTATTCAATCACAGCCTGAGGCACGATCAGAGGCAGAACTGCCTAAAAAACAGGAGAAGGCAGGCTGGTTCCGATTTCCCAAATTAGGGTTCTCCTCATCTCCTACCAAGAAAAGCAAAAGCACTGAAGATGAGGCAGAGCTGGAAGAACAAAAACTTCAAGAAGAAACAATCACCTTTTTTGATGCCCGAGAAAGTTTCTCCCCTGAAGAGAAGGAAGAGGGTGAACTGGTCGGGCCTGTGAGCACTGGGCTGGACTCCAGAGTGACAGTGACATCTGTGGCAAGAACAGAGTTAATCCTGCTAGAGCAGGACAAAAAAGCTGATGATGTAGGCAAAGGCTCAGTCCTGTGACCAAATGAAGGCTGAGAGGAATGGCTCATCAGCATAAGAGAGATGCAAAAAACTAAGTTGGAAAGTAAAGGCTACACACACATATGGAGCACCCCATCCCACAGCACATTACATCCACCTCACTTCACAGAACTGAGAACAGAGCAGAAATGACCAGAACACCTTTGTCACCATCACACTGCCCTCCTAAAATGGAACCAAAGCTTTGGATGCAAAGAAGGCACCCTGACTTCCCACAAGACACCAGAATTCACACGGTACTCAGAGGCATTGCTGGGAAAGTTTGTTGGTCTTTATTAGAAAAATTTCAAGAGACCTGTCCATAATACCCAACAGAACATGAGTGTTTCTTTGAGGTAAGGGTTCTAATGTCTGTGGTGTATGAGTAGTTTTTGGTATAACTTCTTTCCTGCTGCTGCTGCTTCCTGGCAAACATAGTTTTCCTATTTCAGGCAGAGTGCGGTATATTCCAGGAGACACTGTTTCCTTCTCTCTTAGCTTACTTCTTTGTTGAATTCTCACTAATGGCAAGCTTCAAGATGTTTTGTGTGACAATACACACATGCTAGGCAGAAGGGTGATGGCGTCCAGTGGCTGGCAGCCGGGCCAGCAGAAGCCAGGACATCTGTGAGTTGTCATTCTCATCTATCCATGTCCACTTGCTTGCCAGCATCCACCAGTGCCTTGCCAGCGTGCACGGTCCCACACTGTGGCCCCTGAGTCTCCTAATGTACATGCTGCAGCCAGAATGCAGATGGAGCTGGCTTGGCTGTTCCCTGGATGGGCAATAAAGAAAGTGCTGCATCCCACGGTGAAGGCTGCTGAGGTCTTCTGTCTACAGGTGGAAGTTTACCAGTGCTTTCCCCCCACACACTCTGGTCTCTACTAAGTAGCTCTAGAGAACAGTCAAGGAGGAACATTAGAGTGGTTGCCTATGTATCATCCATTTGTCCAGGTCCTCCTCTGAGCTAGAGGCTATGAGGAAGACAAGGAAGATAGGGCTAAGTTCACAGTGTGGCAGGGACACTGTGAATCCTGGTCTCTCAACCCTTCCTTCCTCCAGCTGGAGGCAGTGTGGGATGGGAGATAGAGTGCAGAGTGGGGACAGCACAGAAAGGTGTCCTTGGCCATCTTTAGTGGCCCATCCTCAGAAGCTTCCTTTATCACAGAGGCTGTCTTGGGCAGCCCACAGGAAGCAAATCCACGTGTGGTAGTGGAGTGAGGTTCAAGGGGTTCCCTATAGTCTTTCAGTGGTCAGATCTCTTCCCAGCTGCCCTCAGATGCCCCTGCTGGGTTCATGGGTATGCAGTGTTCAAGGGGGCGGTTGGAACTTGCCCCCAGCTCCCTCCTGGTTTGGGTGGGCTCCTGGTGAGTAGCGCTCATGGACCCCTGGGGAGGTGGCTGCTCTCATGGCTGTGGGCATGGGAGCAAGAGCTGGGCTGTAGCCAATCTGGAGGACGACAGTGCCTGAAGGGTGAAGGCCACTCTGAGGCTACCACTCCTTGTGCTGCCCTGAGAGGTTCCAGAGGAGTGACAGCTATGGGGTGCAGGAGCCTGGGCAGGGGAGAGGCTGGGTTCTTTCCCCATGCCACCATGGGCATATGTTCCCTGTGCTGAGTTGGGGAGGCCCATGGGTGTCATCCAAGTTAGGGGACATAGAAGCCTCTAGAAAGTGAACTGACAGGTCCCCTGGGGGCTCACAAGCAGGGGAAGGAGGAAGGGAAATTTGGTGGGCACTCGTCCCACAGTTAAGCAAGGCTGTCACCCCCTCCCTTCCCAGGGCTTCCTGCCTCCTCTACTCCAACTTCTGTGTGCCAGACAAGCTAGGTGAGTGCAGCCCAGGGAGCACTGCAGAGGGAGGAATCTGCCTGGCTCCATGGGGCTTTTATCCCTCTCTGATCCCAGAGTCAAGGCCTGGGATAGTGGGGGCCTTGGTGCTAGAGGCCAGAGAGACAGCTGTCCCAGCACATGAGAAGTGGCTGAGCAGCAGGGGCCCCCACAGGGTTCTCACGTGGCCTTGGTTCTCTGTGTATGAGTTATCTATGCTGCATAAGAACATCACTCACTACAAATGAGCAACTTAAAACAACACATATTTATGATCTCCCAAAGTTTTTGTAGATCAGGAGCCCAAGTGTGGCTTTGTTGGGTTCTCTGCTCAAGGTCCCATTAGGCGTCAATCAAGGTGTCAGCTGGGGCTGTGGTCTCCCCTTCAGTCATGACCAGGAAAGAAGCCACTTCTGAAGCTCACATTTAAGCTTCAGTGTTTAAGTTGAGTGTTGCTAGCCACACTCAACTCCTGTGGATGGGATGATTGAGGGCCCCAGTTTCTTGCTATTTGGGGGCTGGAGGCAATCCCAGTACCCTGCCACATGGGCCTCTTCACAGGACAGCTCGTAGCCTAGCAGCTCACTTTATTAAAGCTAGCAAGGGATCAACTGCTAGCACAGAAGTGACACCCCATGACCTCTGTGTATTCTATTAGTTACAAGGCACAGGTCATGCACACACTCAAGGTAAGATCACACAAGGGCATGCATAGCAGGAGGTGGGGGTCACGGGAGTCATTCTAGAGTCTGTCTGCTATATTCCAGAAGGGGCCATATTGTGTTACCCTCCTGGGGTCTCTCAAACCTTGTCAAGCTGGATTTCCTTGGGAATAGGAGTCTGCTTTGAAGTAGGCCTCTGACAGTGCCACTGAGGTGTGACTGCCAGACCCCAGGTGTGTGGAAAGAGGCCTTTCACTGGATGAGGGCCACAAGCCAGTTGTCCAAATCACAACCTGGAGCACAGAGCCCTCCTAGAACACAGTCGGCAGGCCAAGAGAGCAGGCCAAGTGCTCTGAGACACATTCAGGTATAAGGCCAAGAACCAGGGAGCAAACCCACACATGGAACTCTGGAGGGCAGAGCTTAGTCTGGGATGATATCAGATTCTGAGCCAGGTGTTGCCACGCAGCTTTTTGGCAGATGGTTGCTGAGGAGATTTGGAGCATGGATGAGGGATAGGAAGCCACAGGGAGCAGCCACTGCAACTGCCAGAGCTTGGCTTGGCCAAGTGCAGCTCACATATGTACAAAGCAGCTCCCAGAGGCTCCTGAGGCCTTGCAGGGCTGTGTGGATCCCCATCCTCCTGCAGCATCTGCAGCCAACTTTTCACAAGCTTGGGCAGGGAGGCAGGATGGGTGTAGGAGACTTTCTGCACAGACAGAATGCTGAGGTCTAAGGCGTCCTTTAGATGGGGGAAGTATGAGGTCACCAATCGAACAGAAAAGTAACTTGTACGGTACCTTAGATGAACTTCGCTAGCTTTCCCCAAAGCGAAGAGGGAAGAGGAAGATAGGGCTGAATTCACAGTGTGGCAGGGACACAAAAATAGGAAGGAAAAAGGTAGAGAAGGGTAGGAAAAGTAGAGAAGTAGAAAAGGGTAGGAAAGTGGTGCCCCAAGACTGGGAGAGCATTTGGGGGACCCTGGGGTCCATTCAGCTCCAGTGCTCCTTCATACCGCTGCACTGTCCCTGAACTCCAGCCTAGGGTGGCCCCATGGACCTCCACCAGGGGAGGGTACCCTGTGGTCTTGGTCAGGAACCATCAGGTGAAACAAGCCAGGGTACTTTGAGAAGCCTTCTGGCCCAGCATTCATAGCAGAAGAGTGGGAACGGAGTGGCCAGACCTGGGTTCGAATCCTGCATCTGCAGCACAGGTGCCCAGGTGGCTCCCAGGATAGGGTGAGTTCCAGTGGAGCCGCATCCAAGTCCTGGTCTCAGATTGGAGTCACCTTCCTGCCCTCCAGCTCAAATGCTGGTCCTCACAGCCCCATACACCAGTCCTGGGCCCTGCATCCCCAGGACAGTCCTGCCCCCACATTCTTGGACCTGCCCTGCACAACAGCCCACAAACCACACAGCCTTGCACACCCCTACCCTCGCCAGCCTGTCTCCCCAGCCCTCACGCGGGACCTGTTCTCTCGGCCCTGGGTTCCCTCCCTCTTACCCTCCCCGTCAGGGGTCCCCTCCCGACTTCCACTCTCCTGATCCCTTCAGCCGCGGGTCCCCTCCCGACTTCCCCATCCCTCAGCCCCGGTCGCCTCGCGTCCTCCCCGTCCCCTCAGCCGCAGGTCCCCTCCCGCCCTTCCCATTCCCTCAGCGCCGGGTCCCCTCTCGCCCTCCCCTTCCCCCAGCCCCAGGCCCCCTCCCCGCCTCCCCGTCCCCCAACCCCGGGTCCCCTCCCGCCCTCCCCATCCCCTCAGCCGCGGGTCCCCTCCCTTTCTCCGCGTCCCCTCAGCCGCGGGTCCCCTCCCGGCCTCCCCGTCCCCTCAGCCGCGGGTCCCCTCCCGCTCTCTCCGTCCCCTCAGCCGCGCGTCCCCTCCCGAGCCCAGCGTCCTCCCAGCCTCCCCGTCCCCTCAGCCGCGCGTCCTCCCGACCTCCCCGTCCCCTCAGCCGCACGCGTCCTCCCGCTCTCTCCGTCCCCTCAGCCGCGCGTCCCCTCCCGCTCTCTCCGTCCCCTCAGCCGCGCGTCCCCTCCCGGCCTCTCCGTCCCCTCAGCCGCGGGTCCCCTCCGCCCTCTGTGCCCCTTGAGCCGCCTTGGGTCCCCTCCCGCCCTCCCCGACCCCTCAGCCCCGGGTCCCCTCCGCTCTCCGCGTCCCCTCAGCCGCGCGTCCTCCCACTCTCTCCGTGTCCCCTCCCGCTCTCTCCGTCCCCTCAGCCCCGCTCCCCTCCCTCGCCGCACCTGTCCGGCGCCGTAGGAGCCGCCCCCTGGCGGTGGGTGCGCGGCGCTGCGCCTTGGTCTGCGTTCCCTCCGCGGGAGTCCCGGGCGTGGGCTCCGCGGCTCTCGCTCCCCACGGCAGCCGCTGGGCGGGAATTTGGGTTCCGGAGCGCGGCAACTCGGCGCGGGGTGGGAGATTGAGGGTTCGCTCCGCCCGGGGGGCCCGTCTGGTCCCCGCCCCGCCCCGGGTTCTCGCGGACCTCGGACTAGCTGAGGCGCTGCCACGGCAGTCGCGCGGCGCGGCTTCGCAGGGGCGGGCGCGTAGAGGCGGGCCCTTGGCAAAAGGATGAAGGGCCGCCAGCGCTGGACTCACACAGAGGCACTGGGAAGCCACGAGTGTTTTTTAGGCCTGGCCTGTGGGCCAGGAGTCAGGGTAGGGGCCTCCTGGAGGGCTCCCTGGAGGAGGCGGGGCTTAGGGGGGCTGGACTCGGAAATCAGAGAGCTGGCGGGCGGTGCGCGGCGCCCGGGCGGTCGCAGGCGGCTCCTGGCTCAGTGCCGACCCGGGCTGCTTACAGGAGGAAGCTGCTGAAGCCCAGGCCGGGTCAGAGGGGAGGGCGGGGGCGGGGCGGGGTCGCCGAGAGAAAAAAGGGCCCCCCTCAGCCCTGCCAAACGCAGTCCTGGCCCGGAGCCTGTCCGTCCAGGCCGACGGCGTAGCGCGAACTCCAGTCCCGCTCAAAGAGCTGCCGCAGCTGCTCCTGTACCGTGGCCCCCGCGGGCTGCGCGCCGGGGCTCTGGGTGACCACCAGGCCCACCCCCGCCGTGCTGCTGAAGTAATCCTCCGACCAGTTGGAGGTGCCTGTGGGGAGGACGGAGGAGACGCTGGGGCGCCGGCTCCCACAGGCCTCTCCGCAGCCCGCTCAGCGCCAGGCCCGGCTACGGGTTTGGGCACGGTTGGCAGCTGGCCCCTCCACTGTCATCAGACCCCAGCCGGGGAAGCCCCTCGCTTAGGTGCGGGAGGGACAGCTGGTCGCGGAGGAACTCCATCCTCACCACGCGGCGCCAGGCGTCCTGACTCAGTGTTCTGGGGCCCTGGGGGGCCAGGTGACAGGCGGGTGGCCTGGTTCCCGGAACTCCATGGAGACCCTGTCCCCCTTCAGCAGCAGCCCCTCTGTCCTGAGGTGTCCACGCCGGTCACAAAGCCACTGCCTCCCTCGCCCGTGCCTGGCCACCCTGGGGCCCGCCCGCCGTGATCTGCTGGCGCTCACCTATGTAGGCTGCCTTCTCCGTGACCATGAACTTGCTGTGGTTCACCCTGCTGAACGGGATGTTGGAATGATTCCCCACCGGCACGATGAAGACTTTCTTAGGGGAGCAGAGGCAGCGCGTCAGGAAGGGCGGGAGGAGGGCGCCTTCCCCATGCCCGGCTGGGAGCGCGCCCTCACCACGTCCACAGAGACGTTGGCCGCGGGGTTGCTGAGCGCCTGCAGGGACCGCAGGTAGGGGAACATGGTGGGGTCCGTGTTGAGTCCGCAGCTGACCAGCAGGCGCACGCGCACACCCTTGCTGAAGGCGGCCGCCCGCAGCGCGTTGTCCAGCACCGGCCAGTACCTTGGGGTGGAGAGAGGCGGGGCTCTGCTTACAAGCCCCCGGCCCGGCAGGGGTCCCAGCAGGAGGGGACGTGCCCAGGAGCTGCCCATCAGCAGAGCAGGCTGCCCTACCTGCGGGGGTGGCTGAAGCGCGTGGTAGGGAAATACTCCATCACGGAGGCGTAGATGAACTCCTGGGCGCTCCCCATCACCGCCAACAGCGCCTCCAGGTCAGGGGTGCGGCCCTGGGGACAGAGTGCGGGTGGCGATGCCTGTGACGGGAGAGGGGTCCCTGAAGGCTCTGCCAGCCCAGTCCATTCTGAACTTGTGACCCCACCATGCACCACCCAAGAGGCCCCATGTGGTGGTGGAGGGATGGGGCCCAGGTGCCTGGAAACATGACGAAAAAAGGGGTCAGTTCCACAGGGGTCCTGGGGACTGGCTGAGGCCTGGTAGAATGACGGAAAGCAGCTGGACCGCCCTGGGCTCCAGGCTGGATTGACTTCCCAGAAACAGTTTCTGGCCACGGGGATGCTTCTCCACTCCCTTCAGGGTGCCAACCCCCCCCCCCCCCCCCCCCCCCCGCCGGTTCCCCCCCCCCCCCCGGGCCCCCCCCCCCCCCCCCCCCCCCGCCCCATCTAGGAAGATTTCCCTTGTTCTGATACAGCCTCTACTGCAGACCAGTCCTGGGCTGGCTGGGGGGCTGTCCACCCCCACTCCCGTGGGCTGATAAAGGAGGATCTGCCCACCCCTCACTCTTCCCTTCCTTCCCCACAGAGCAAGTGGGGCTCCCCTCCCTCTCCAGTGCCCAGCTAAGCCCCTTGGCCTTTTCCAGCAGTCTAGAGACTCCCAGGGCCCCAGGGCCTCCCATCACCTCCTAGGCAGCCTGTTTCCCAGGGATAGTGCTGACCAGCTGTCCTCCTGGAGCTAAGCCTGCCTCCAGGCACAGCCCAGAGCCTGCTGATGCCAGCCTGCTGCTCACCCCAGGGCCACAGTCCCACCCATGGTGCTGGCTGCCTGAAGACCTGGCTGATGCTGCTGGTGTCTGCAGGGCCAGTCCAGAGGGCTCCCTGTGGGTCTGGCCAGCCAGGGCAGAACAGGGGTCTCTGATGGGCTCCTTCTCAACCCGCCTTACTGAGAAGTAGGCAGTGGTGGGCACCCCATCAAAGAGGCCCTGAAAGGGCTGGAAACGGTTGATGTGAGATGAGAAGTTCTGAGGCCAGGTTTTGGGGAGGACAGCCTTGGGCACCCCCAGCACCCAGTAGGTCTGGAAGGTCTTCTCCAGGTCTTGGGCCAGGTGGCTGCAGTTATAGATGACAGCGCCAAGCTCCTTCACCTGCAGGGACCAAAGTCAGGTGCTGTGGGAGAAAATCCCCTCTGTGGGGCCTCCACCCCACTCCACCCAGGCCAGGGATGCTGGGGCAGGCACAGCCCCTGCCCCACGGATCCCCACTTGTGGGAAGCATTGCCTGTAGGAATCTGTAAGAGTGTGCTGGTGGGAGGAGCGCCCAGCGGGTCCCTGTGTTTTTGAACATTGTATTCCAATGATCAAAGCAATACATGTTTATTACAAAAACAATAGAAAATGCATCAAGGCATTAAGAATGGGATCATTCTTAATACCACTGTCAAGTGATAACCAGGGTTGCCTTTGCCATGACCATTCTGACACATTTTTCATGCATTGCTTTTCCTAAAAAGGCGTGTGTTTTGTAATCTGCATGTTTCCCTGGATAATGTGACTTGAACATCTTTCCATGTCATTTAATGTGATTCCACAGCATGAGTTCAGTGGCTGTGTAGAATTCCATCATTTATTAGACCAGTCTCCAATTGTTTCTGCCATGGTGACATTGTAAACAGTACTACACGACTTTCTCCAGATGCACTGAGATGTCAGGCCAAGTCCCCAGAGTTCAGGAGGGGAAGAGCTTCAGGCGGGCCTCCTATGTTAGGGCCCTGGCACTCACCTGCGTCAGGGACCGCCAGTCCATGTTGGCACTGCCCATGTATATGTGCCGTCCATCCACAACCCAGAATTTGGAGTGCAAAACGCCCCTGGTGAGCCGCCCCATGGGCACCCGTCGTACCTGGGCACCTGGTGGAGAGTTCAGGCAATGGGATGGACTAGGTCTTGCTAAATGCCAGCTTCATGGTGAGCCTGACCCCAAGCTCATGACAGTGGGGTTGACTCGGATGTCCCTACAACAGTCCTACTAAGCTGCTGCTATCCTCATCCCCGTTTTATAGGTGAGGACACTGAGGGATAGACTGGCCCAGGGTCCCTCTGGGCAGCTCAGCTCCAGAGCCTGCCTTTGTGGTGACTGCCCATGGCCTCTTGCTCCCCAGCCAGAGGTCCCAGCCTGAGCCTCCAGCCAGGGGTCAGAGCTGCTGGGCTCAGCAGGGCTCCGAAGCCACCCATGCTCTGCCCTGTGGAAAATGGCACTTTTGGTTCCTTGGAACCAGCCCTATGCCCAGGTGAAGCTGACTCAAAGGACCTCGGAGCCCTGGGTCCTGCCCTCCTGGGGTGTCCTAGGGAAGCCCAGGACACCTTTCCCACCCCTGCCCCTTTTCCTTGTCCCATGGTGCCAGCCAGACAGCCCGTGCCTGACGCTAGGGCAGTGGGGCCCAGCATGGTGCAGGTACCCACCTCGGGCAGCCAGGACCTGCAGGTCGGTGGACTTCCTGGCCAGTGTTGGACTGCTGGTGGCCACAGCCAAGGAAATGTTCCTGCCCAGCAGCTGCTGCAGCTTCTGCAGAAGGGCCTCTCCCTGCAAGGCCAGGCCAGCCATGAGAGCAGACCTCAGGCTGCCCTCTCCTCCGCACTCCCACTAGGACCCATGCTCTCCTCAGGAGACCTACCTATGACTGCCCACAGCTCAAGGTCAGGTCAAGTATATGGATGACCCTTGGTTGAGAGCCAAACTGCACCAGGCCCAGTCTTTGAGTGTTTAGTCACCCAGAGGCCCAGCTCCTTGACACCTCTGCCCTTAGAGCCCCCAAGGGAGTGGCCTAATCCCTGCTCCATGCTAGACCCTACCACCGAGTTGAGCCCCCGGGCCTGGTGCCCGAGACCCCTACATAGATGGGCAGCCTGACTTGCTGTGTTTCCAGCACCAGGATGCGGTGGGGTCAGGGCGGGGCGCACCAGCTGGGAAGATGAGTCGTTGACCCCAATGTCGGGCCCTGTGAGGGACCAGTAGTATGAAGCCACGTGGACGCTCTCCTGGGCAGTGTCCAGCAGCTGCAGCCAGGCCTGGCCCAGAGGCTGGGCGGAGAGGCTGCCGGCTGCAAATGGCAGGTCCTGGGGGATGCTTTCCACAAGGACAAGCCTGTGGAGAGAGCCACACTGGGCTCAGTATGGGTGCAGGAGCCCCCAACCTGCCTCACATCACCTGCCCCATCCCGCTGCCAAGCCAGAGCAACTGTTGCTCAGGTGGCCCCTGGGATGAGCCCAGGCCAAGTGCAAGGGTAAGGGTTTAAGGTATAGGCAACAAAACAGACTGGGCAGGGTGGGCCTGAGCCCAGCATGCTGCTGGGATGGGACACCCAGGAGCACGTTGGGAAGGAGCCTGAGAGGGGCTGCCTGGTGCAGAGCAGGTTAGACTGGGGGGTCCTGGCCCCACCCAACCCTGAGGCACTGCCCACAGGGAGCAGCTGCTCCTGAAGCCAGGAAGAGTAGAGCAGAGCTGTGGAGTCTGGAGTCTGGGGTGGCTTCCTGGTGTGGAAGCCCTTGGTGGCGGCCAGAGCTGGCCTGGAAGGGAAAGGCTGGGCCAGGGGCAGGCGAGATTCCATTTCCAGGGAATGTATGCAAGATGGCCCAACAGGTTCCTCCAGGGCAGTCCTGCGATTCCAGTACCCCAACCGCAGGGAAAGAAAGGTGGGAGGGAAGGCTGAGGGGCGGGAGGGGACAGTGACACTACTCCCCAGGAGTGGAAAGACTGAGGGGGTGAGCTCAGCACAGGCAGTGTTTTCCAGCCTGTCAGATCCCCCGGGTGGCAGCCTTTGTTTGCTGCAAAAAGCACCACACGCCTGCCCCGTCCCCAGCCCCCACGCCAGCTCATACGGTTGTGGCCCTCCCGGGTGACCTGCACCTTCTAGAGGAGCTGGTAGAGGGCCGCCCTTATCTCATGGGCAGATCCAAGGGCAGAAACACAGGCAGCAGCCCCAAACCAAGACCTGCCCAGGCAGGCCTCCATGGGCTCACTTACTGGCAGGAGTCCCTCTGCTTCCTGACCTCCGCTTCCAGGGGCTCCAGAGCTGGGCTGGAACCATGCCCCCAGGACCTGGGCACGTCCTTGGGCTGCACCTGGCCCCAGGTGGGAGGACGGCGCACTTGCCACAGGAGGTAGGTAAGAGCCATGGAGCCCAGCCACAGCATAGCCAGCGCTCCCAGGACCTGCAACTGGATGGGGCAGCACCCGCAGGGTCACCAGGACGGGTGGGGGGTTGACTGCTGGCTGGGCCACCATGGCCCCTCCAGTGCTGAGACAGAGACCATCTTGACTTCCCTGGACCTGTGCTGCCGCTGGGGTGGGACTAGGGTGGACAAGGGAGAGAGGAGAGTGATACAGAGAAGGGCCCCAGCCCAGGGTGGTGGCGGGGGTCGGGAGGCCTGCAGCCCACTCTGCAATGCCGTGGCTCGTGGTAACTAGCTGTCCCCAGCACCTCCAGCAGGGGGATAAAGGGAAGGTCTGGAGCAGCCCAGGGAGGCTTGCCTTGCCCACCGATCAGGGCACCTCTGCTCCCCTCCTTGAGGGTGGAGGCCCCCTCAAGGCTGCTTGTGTCCTCTCCACTCTGGCTCACAGCTTCTGAAAGGCCACTGATCCCAGCCACCTCCTCCCTGGGGCCCCCCAGTCCTACCGTGCCAGCCTCTCTGTCCCACAGGCGGCGGGGCGGCATGGAGCACGGCCACATGGGGGTCACTGCCGTTCTCCGAAGAGACTTCAGCATCTGCACAGGGCAGCCTGGCATCACCAGCAGCTCCAGCCCCACCCAGAACTGCCCCTCAGTGCCTGGGCAGCTAGGCACTGGAGACACCCCTGCACAGACACCCACATAAGCCCCCAAAAGCATCCCACTCGTGCCTGAGGTCACACCTTGGATGTTGGGGGTATGCTTTCCACAAGGACAAGCTGTGTGGGTGTTGGAGCCCGCAGCCGGCCACATGTCACCTGCCCTGTCCCCCTGGCCAAGCCGGAGGGACTGCTACTAAGGCGGTCCCCAGGGCTGAGGCTGGGCCAAGCGTGCGGGCCGGGGTGGGCGTCTGTGCCTGGCCACATGCCCCGGCTTTCTGTGTCTCCCACTCAGTGATGCTCAGTGAGTATCTAGGTATTTGTGTCTCAGTTCCCTGTTTCAACCACGACTGAAACTGTGTCTGAAAGCCCCATTTCTGCTTTTGTCGCTTGGTCCTCTTATTGCTGGCCTATAAATAACTGCTTCCCTCCTGGGCTGGGCTCCTGTCTTGGCCCCACGGCAGCCCCTCCTGAGAGCCACAGGTCAGAGGGGTCAATGGGGCAGCACCCTGGCTGGAGAGGCTAAGCGTGGAGAGGGCAGAGATGGCGACAGAGTGAGACCCCTGCACTGCTGGGGGAGGCGGTTGTCCTCTGCTACAGGGACTCGCCTTGTCTCCTAAGAGCGGTCACCCCATAAGGACCTGGGAGCCAGGCCATCCAAGCCCCGTGGCATGTGGGCTCCCACCCCCAATCCCACCTTCAAAGCAAGCAGTCAGGCTGCCCCAGGTGCCACGATGGGGAAGGGTGCCTCACAAATACAGAGGCGCCCTCCCTGGGTGCAGGGAGGGATCTGTGCCCATCATGGACACCTGACTGGCCAGCCTCTGACTGAGGTATCCACCAGGGCAGGAGCTGGCTGGCCGCTGGCCGGGATGGGGAGGTATCCAAGGTTTGGGGCCTGGGCCTGGGCAGTGCTGAGTGCCTGTGTCTGCAGCCAGGCTGGGCACTGGGACCCAGGGGCTCTGTGGGTTGGCTGTCCACCTGGGAGCAGCCAGCTCGGCCTCCAGGCCACTGGGGTTCGTCAGGGCTATCCTCCCACGGGTCAGGGATGAGGCCTTTGAGAACCTGGCCTGCCTCAGCAGGGGGTGGGAACGCCATAGGAGTCAGGCCTGGGCTGTGTCTGCCCTGGAGACCAAGTGTTATAGGAGATTGGGAGTCGGAGCATAAACCAAGTGTGGGGACGGGGACTCAGGCCAAGTCACTCTGGCCCAACTCCTCGCACACTGGGGGGTCCTGCAGAGGTGGGTCGGGTGCCGCCCCCACCCCAGAGCTGAACTCCGGGGGTTGCTCCCCCCACCACGCAGAGGGGACCTCAGGGTGCCTACCGTGTCCCCACTGTTCCCAGGGATTCAGGGCCCAGCATCAGGCCTTTGCCCTCCCCCACTAACTCTCAGAGAGAAAACACGGAATCCTGGGCTGTGGCTGGGCAATGAGAGGAAACATGGAATCCTGGGCTGTGGCTGGGCAACGAAGTGCCAGGGCCGTCCTTGGACAGCTGCTCCCCACCCTCCCTGCCCTCACCAGAGAGGGCCCTTGCTCCCTTAAATGCTCCAGGCAGATGGGCAGCTCAGAGCACAGAGGCCCTGCTTCTTGCAGGCCCCATCTCAGACTTGTAGCCTGTCCAAGGCCCCTCCCAGGACTATAGACCCCAGAGTGCCTCACCACCTCCTCTTGCAATGGAACCTGGGAGGCCCTCAAGCAAGGTTGGCTTGAGCTGAGACACCCTTGGAGAGTAGGGCTGTAGCCCCCTTGTCCCATGGTAGATAGCATAAGACCCTGCAGGCATCAGAGGTCATGGCTGAAGGTGCCAGATTTTCTGCCCTGCAGGGCATTAGGCACGGCTGCCAGTCCCAGGCTGAGGTAGAGGGCCCAGCTGTCACCTGGCTGGGTATCACCCAGCTGCACGGATTGGGGAAGGAGCCAGTCATCTACAGGACTAGCTGGAGGCTGTGTGACTCTCTGGACCTGGGGTTGCCAGGAGGCTGAGGCCATAGGGAGGCAGACAGCAGCCCCTTCCCCAGGCCTGGCTTTTCTCATCTGCCCTGGCCTCATTGGTACATACCTCTGGGGGTCGTGCCTTGGTGTCCATCCTGATTCCAGCCACAGACTGCAGGCCCTCAGCTCACGGGGCAGGCTTGGTGCTGCCTGTGCTCCACACCAACCTCCTCCTCTCTGCAGCTCACTGCTTCCCCTTCCAGCTACTTCCTCTTTGTCCTGAGAGGCCCCCTCTCATCCGAGACAGAAACAGACGGCTGGAGCTGGGTGGGCGGGCTAGAGGGTGGGGCTGAGAACCTTCACCTCCAGGAAAAATCTACACCCCACTCCCTCGAGGTAGAGGCCCACCAGTTACAGGCCTACGAATCAGAGTCAAGCTCAGCTACAGGCCACAGAGACCTAAGGAACAGTGGCTTCAGCAAGGTCGTTCATTACTCTCGAACACTAAGCAGGTCCAGGGGCTGGCAGGCTAGAGATAGCCTTGCTAGAGATGATGGCATTGCTCCACTGCCATTGGGAGCCAGGACCCTCCAGTTTTCAGATCCCAGTCCCTAGGATCCCTGCCTTCATGGCCTCACAATGGCTGCTAGAGCTCAGCCACTGCCTCTGTGTTCTTAGCAGAGAATAAGGGACATCCCAGAGGAGACTTCCTGGAAGTCCCACAGGGCACTTCCACTTATCTGTGATCTGGAACTTGATCTAGAACTTGGTCACGTGGCTATACTTAGCTGCAAGGGAGGCTGAGCAGTGGAGGTAACTAGGGTCTTTATCCTGGAGGACGAAGCTGGGGCCGCTCGCTGGCATATCTGAAAAGGTAGGCTTGGCTAGAGGCTCCCAGCAAGGGGCTCTGCCTCCCACTCCCTACCCCTCACTGGGGTCCCTGAGTAGGGTCTGGGACCCTGAGAGCACCCCTACTTTTCAGTGCAGTCTGGGTGTCCACCCTGGCTCCTCCTTGTAAGGCCTATGTAGGGCAGGGGTCCAGGGTGCTGGCCTCAGGGTGCCTGCAGGACACCCATCAGCAGGGTGCAGTTCCCAAGGGTGGGGCCTGTCAGCTGCACCCCTGGGGCCAGTTTAGGTGCACCAGGAAGTGAATGGGGAAGAGATCCAGCCTCCCCTAGCCCGTCCCAGATCTCCCTTCACCTTCTTGCTGCTCCAATTTGGCCTTGGGGTCAGTCCTTACCTCCCAGCCATGGTTGGGGAGCCTCTGCTCTCTGTCTGGGTTGCTGGATGCCTGAATGCAGCTGTGCCCCAGGCATGCCCACGAGGGTTGGGTCCTCCAGGGACTCTGGGTGGGGATTATTCTGGGTATGGGGAGGGGCAGCCAGGTGGACCCTGCTGTGACATTTGCAGGGCTGGGGCATGAGTATGAAGGGAGGCTGCCTTCTCCGCCCTCAAGCTAAAGGCAGTTAGACAGAATAGATTCTCTTCTGTCTTTTTTTTTTTCCTTTGAGAGAAGTTTCGCTCTTGTACCCCAGGTTTGAGTGCAATGGCTTTATCTCGGCTCACTACAAACTCTGCCTCCCAGGTTCAAACGATTCTCCTACCTCTGCCTCCCAAGTAGCTGGGATTAAGGCGCCTGCCACCACGCCCAGCTAATTTTTGTATTTTTTAGTAGAGACAGGATTTCACCATGTTGGCCAGGCTGGTCTCGAACTCCTGACCTCAGATGATCCGCCCACCTTGGCCTCCCAAAGTGCTGGGATTACAGCCGTGAGCCACTGCGCCCAGTCTCTTCTGTCTTGACAACAATGGTGTGTGAGGGCCTGGAAGGCCAGGGACAAGTGGAGGACCCCAGGGCTCCTTGGAGTGCTCTCAGAAGTCCTTGCAGGAGGGCCAGCCCCAGCCAGCCCCCTCTCTGATTTTCCCACATCGTGAGGGGCCTCAATGAGCCCACATGCTACACCCAGCCCGTGGGTCCAAGCTCATCTGCAGCCCCAGAAAACCACCTCGTCGCCGCCCCTGGCTGCCCCTCAGGCCAGCAGGACTGGGTACAGCTCCGGCAGCTCCACCTTGGGAGGATGGATCCAGGCTTGGGGACATTTAAGCAGGGAGTCCTGGGCCTTGGGCTCAGGGTTCGGCGGACTGTCCTCTTGGCCCCTCAGGCTGCTTACCCTGGAAGAAAGATTGAGGCTGGAAGGGGCCTCTAGACTCAGAGCCCAGGGCAGGCCCCTCAGTGGCTCCGAGGCTGGCTGTGTGGCCAGGACCCACCTGAGGGCAGCTCCTTGCTGGCTCTGCTCCCTCCGCTGCAGGCCCCGCCCTGAGGTCTAGGGCCCTTGGGTCCCATGGGGTGTGGGGAGGAACTTTGGGGATTTCCCATGAAGCAAAACACTTTTTCTTTAATTTCCTTTGTTATTTCAAAACTTATCTTTGTGGGAAAATATGACTCATTATTTGTCAGCAGAGCTAAGGTGTTTTTTCTTTTTACCCCAAATAAGTACAGACTGTCAGAGCAGGCTTGTGGGAGCACTTAAACCCTGCCGTAAGCACATCAGACATGCCTCACCTCATGGAGCGATGTCCTGATAAGCCCATCATAAATGGAAGCTGAAAATATTCTAAGTTGATAATGAAGAAAAAAGGAGAGACAACCCAAATAACCAAAACTAGAAACAAAAAAGAGACATTACAACTGATATTACAGAAATACCAGAGATCACCAGAGACTGCCTGAGAAATTATACACTCACAGACTGGAAACCTGGAGGAAATGGAGACATCCCTGGCACACGCAGCCTGCCGAGACTGAATCAAGAAGAAACAGAAAACCCGAACAGATCGATAAGGAGTAATGAGATTGGAACAGTAATAAAAATCTCCCAACAACAACACGAAAGGCCTGCAGACCAGATGGCTTTACTACTAAATTCTACCAAACTTACAAAAAAGAACTAATACCATTTCTCCATAAACTGTTCCAAAAAAACTGAAGAAGAGGGAATTCTCTCTAACTCATTCTATGAGGCCAGCATTACCCTGATACTCAAACCAGGCAAGGACACAACAACAAAAAAGAAAACTACAGGTCAATATTCCTGATGAACACAAAAATTCTCAACAAAATACTAGCAAATTGAATCTAATAGCACATTAAAAGATAATCCATTATGACTAAATGGGATTTATCCTGGGGATGCAAGGATGGTTCAACATACGCAAATCAATACATGCAATACGTCAAATCCACAGATTGAAGGACAAAAACCGTATGATCACCTCAATAGATGCCGAGAAAACATGTGATAAAATATAACACCCTTCTTCATGATAAAAACTCCCAGCAGGCTGGGCAAGGTGACTCACGCCTGCAATCCCAGAGTTTTGGGAGGCCAAGGTGGGAGAATCTCTCCAGACCAGGAGTTTGAGACCAGCCTGCACAATACAGTGAGACCCTGTTGCTAAAAAAATGTTTTTAAATGTGACCAGGCGCAGTAGCTCATAATCCCAGCACTTTGGAAGGCTGAGGTGGGCAGATCACTTGAGGCCAGCAGTTTGAGACCAGCCTGGCCAACACGATGAAACGCCATCTCTACTAAAAATACAAAAATTAGCTAGGCATGGTGGCGCATGCCTGTAATCCCAGGTACTCGGGAGACTGATGCAGGAGAATCACTTGAACTGGGGAGGCAGAGATTGCAGTGAGCCAATATGATGCCACTGAACTCCAGTCTGGGTGACAGAGCAAGACACTCTTTAAAAAATAAATAGGCTGGGCCCAGTGCCTCACGCCTGTAATCCCAGCACTTTGGGAGGCCAAGGCAACTGGATTACTTGAGGTCAGGAGTTTGAGAACAGCCTGGCCAATATGGCGAAACCCTATCTCTACTAAAAATACAAACAATTAGCTGGGCGTGGTGGCAGGTGCCTGTAATCCCAGCGACTCGGGAGGCTGAGGCAGGAGAATCACTTGAACCCGGGAGGCAGAGGTTACAGTGAACCGAGATCGTGCCATTGCACTCCAGCTTGGGCAACAAAAGCGAAACTCAGTCTCGAAAAAAAAAAATCAGGCAAAAGATCTGAACAGACATTTCTCAAAAGACATACAAATGGCCAACAGGCATATGAGAAAAATCTCAGTATCACTAGTTACCAGGGAAATGCAAATCAAAACCACAATGAGGTAACATCTTGCCCCAGTTAGAACGGGTGTTATCAAGAAGACAAAAAATAAATGCTGGCAAAGATGCCAAGAAAAGGGAACTCTTATGTTCTGTTGGTGGGAATGTAAATTAGCGAAGCCATTATGGGGAACTGTATGGAAGTTTCTCAAAAAACTAAAAATAGAACTACCATATGATCCAGCAATCCTACTACTGAGTATTTATCCAAAGGAAAGGAA